AATGAATAAATAATATTGATTTAAAAAAAATAAACATATAAATAGGTAAATAAATAATAAATAAATAATACCTTAGCTTGGCTTGGCTTGACTTAGCTTGACCCGAGTGCAAGAGTACTAGATGGTTGAAGTGGCTTAAAAAATGGCTCGACTCAATTTAAACAATGGCTACTGAAAAGTAAGTAACAAACCGGATTGCGACTAGATCGAGTCGAGCAACAGGTTGCAACATAGATCCTAGCTTCTTTAATACCAAAAACTACATCATTTCTTCGATGGTATAAAAAGCCTAATTTTTGCTTTTTTTTTTCAAACTGCTTCTTTCCTCTCTTTCTCTCGCTCTCCTCACGTCGCTTTCTCTTTAAGTGATTCTCAGCCGTTAGGTTTTGTCAAACACTATCGAAAAATTTGTCGATATGTGAAAATATTTTTGAAAAAATCAAACCTTGTTGAAAAGGTTACCGAAAACTATAAAAATTCATCGAAATATTCGTCAGATTCTAGAATTTTCAAAAAAAATTCACAAATTTAAAAAATTTTCCCTAAGAAACACCAATTCAACTTTCAAGCTTTCTAGAGCCGAATCAAATTTACCACTCCTCAAGATTCCCTAAAGACCTTCTGCCATAATTTTTTTTTGTTGCTTCCAAAAAGATTTTTTTTGAAATTTTTGATTGCTTTTTTCACTCACTATTTGCTACTGTCTTTTTTTTTTTTTTTTGTGATCACTAAGGGTTTATATAGTGATCAAATAGTAAGGATGACCAAGAATCTCAAAAATTAAAATCCTTTTTTTTTCCAAAAAAAAAAAATTCTATCCCATCCATCCATTTTATCTTGGTAAACAATTTCAAATTTTAACTCTTCATATCTTAGAGTTTCATTAAGATTAGTCTTTTGCCTTTATTATTATTTATTATTTATTTTCCATTTTTTACCTAATGTGTATCTAAATCATGTCAACAGGAAACGAGCCATGTATCATCAGATCATTAGAAACCTTCTGAGTAACATGGGCCATAATCTATGGATCAAAAATTTAATATTTAAAAAATAAGTGTTTACACTTGAAGTAATAATGTTTTAGTAATTTTGATAATTGATTAATATTCATCTATTTTTAAAATTTTAATGGTATAATTATAATAAAATAAAATTTATAATTTAATTTCATAAAATAAAAATAATAAATGTTTATTTTTATTTTATATAATTCAAGGATTTATCTTGAGTATTATTAAAATATATTTCTATAAGGAATATAAATGATAAAATAATTTATTATATGAAATTTTACAAACATTGTTAATCATAGAACTAAGCAAATAGTCGATTCAGTATTTAATTTGATTGTAAAAATCAAAAAACTAATTTAATCGATTTAATCTTAGGCTAAAATCGAACCAACCGAAATATAACATAAAATCGAAAACACTAAACCAACTTAATCCAGTCGGTTTCGGTCAGTTTCCTTGGTTTAGTCGATTTTTTATCCATAAGGAAATGCATCTATTGTATGAATTTTGCTTTCAGTCCACTGCAAGCAGACAGCTCTAGCTAGCTAAACAATGCTTGGAAGGCAGTAAATGTATTTACTAGCCAGCTAATACTACTTTTTTTTTTTCTAACAAAGCAAAACGAGCTTTAAAGTGAAAGCTTGAAAATTTATATTTGACTGGGGAACAAAATCAAAACTCCAGTTAGCCATTTGCTTCCTTTACCCACACCAAAAATATATCATGATAATAAAATTGCATGAAAGAAACATAGCATTACAGACAGGGTTTTGCAGCTGCATAAACAGAGTAATGTGAAGAAATTTTTGTTTTAATTTCTTCATATTATTCTGTTTGTTCCTTAAGAAAAAATGATAAAAAAAAGGAATCAACTTTTGAGAATTATTACTTTCTTTTGTTTAATTGGAAAGACAAAATGAGAACCCAATTCAATAAAAAAAAATTGAAATTACTTTTGGAAAGTTGGTTTTTAGTTCATACTAGCAATTACTGAAATAATGAAAACATTAGTTCTAAAATTCAATTCAATTCCTTCTAATTTCGTCCACTTTTTCGGCCACATTATTCTTGATGAAAAGACAAAAAAAATATTTGCTTCTTGAACCCACAGTTCTATATCTTACTCCTTGCTAGCATTAAAATTTTCAATGTAAAACCAATCCACATGCTTAAAAAAAAGAAGAACAACTCAATAAAATTGCTAAATTTGAACTTTAAAAAAATTTAATTCCTAGCCAAAAAAAAAAAACAAAATTCATTGAGAATCCAAAAAAAACCATCTCCCCATCCAAAAACCCAATTTCAAAAACCTCTAAAAGAATGAAAATTTCAGCTACATAACCGTCAAACAAGTTCAAAACCCAGTTCATCCTTCAGTAATAGTAGCAAAGGCAATGGGGTTTGAGGCAATACCTTGAGTGGTAGGAGAAGAGACAGAAAAAGTGAAAAAGAAAAAGAAGGGAAATGGGAAAGCTTTGAAAGGAGAGAGAAGAAGGAAACAAAGTGAAGGCATGGAGCTTGTGTGGTGGAAGGCCGCTTAGGCGACTTGGCAAAAGGGGAAGGGAAAGGGAAAGGACAAAAGGCGTTTGGACTAACCATCGTGTGGTGGCTTCGAGCGTTACTAATGGCTTCTAGAGTGATTATGAAAGGTGGCTTCCGGTACAATAGAGCCGTGGAGCTCAATCGGCGCTGCGGTAGCGAGAGAGACATAAGGGAGAATGTTTGAAACAGATGAAATGCGGTCTAGATTTTAGGGAGAAAGAGAGGTGCAAGAGTGACAGATTCATGTACTTAAGGTATTTTGTAAGGGTAAACATGCATTTTACTAAATATTTAATTATTAAAAAGTCAATTTTTTCAGTCAGCTCAATTCATTAGATTTAAAATTGTAAACCGACCCACTAAACCGCCTGAATCGACTAAACGATTTAAACTGAAAAAACCGAACCATTTTACTTAAGTGCATGGTTTTTTATTGGTTTTTTCAGTTTAAATTGACGAATGCTCTCCCCTAGTTAATCAAATCAATAAAAATTTACGATGACAAACAAATCATTAATAATAAAGATTAAAATATTAACAAATTTCAAACGAAAAATATCAAAGATGAATCCTCATGTCGTCACTCATTCATAGTTTGAACCTGTGAAATTCAAATAACAAAAGTACTATACAGATTAGCTATTTTCGACCTTGATTCAGTTACAATCTCTTATCATCTGACTCACTTCCAGAATCAAGCATGTTCAATTTTTTTTTTTTTTATCTAGAACATAGAAATTTCACTATCTTAAGGCAGGTGCTGAACAGGGAAGAACAGAGTCGTCTAGGCAGAAGGAATCACTATAGAGTTGCCTAATGTAGATTCTGTAAGTCCTGTCTCGTACGCCGAACTCTATCCATCGGTGAACAATCAGTTTCAGATGCAAAGTTAAATAACAACAGAATCCTTCCCAGTGATATTCTTAGTTCTTGAAGGATTCAACTGCTAAACTTTCAATTAAGCACAAGAACCACACCAGGCGTCATGGAATCAAAATTTCATCCCGGTCCAATGTCACTATAAACGTTTTTCCTTTTTCTTTTTTCTGGTTTCGGTTCTCGGAATGGGGAAATTGCTAGTTATAAACCCTTTATAACTGGATTAACCTTGTTATTTTTCCATGGGGTGACTTTCTGACCATCAGAGCACAAGCTATGGAGAAAAATCAAGAAGGGCAAAGAGGAGCAGCCATCGGCGGCTCCAATGCAGTTCATTACCAAGTTGATCAACTTGTTCTCCAGACATGTAATAGCTTTGGAATTTATTAAAAGCTAGACAGCTAGAGCTAAAAGTTGGCCTTGGTAGAACAGAAGACACAACAGATAAGGATATTTGAAATGCATGGGCATGTAGAATCGATGAAAGATGAGTTCAAGATGCTGGTCTACTAAGCAACTACCAAGAATCTCCAAGGGATCGATAAAACAATATTATTCATTGATACTACTTAATAGTGACAGACAAATCCCAGAAATCAAAATGCCTGCAGAAAGTGAAACCATATAATCAGAACTACACAAAGTTGCCGAGTATCTACCAAGGACCAGAGCTAAACTAGCATATTGAACTTATTACAACTTCACACTGAAGAATGAGCAAAAAAATTGTAAGTGATTAAGCAAGCTATCGCCCATCACTGTAGACAATAACATAATTTGTACTTTAGTGGCGCTCGGTTCTTTCACTTTTCACCCACTTTACTTCAGTCGAATTCTTCACTTGTCAAAAACCAAATGTACAAAATATAAACAAACAAGATTCACAATCTTCTTTTTATTTTCCATTACTTACCTCAAAGATTCCACTTTCATTTACATAGATCATGTCCTTGCTTATTATTTCTCCCTGTGGTGAATTTTGTTTTTATCATACGCATTAAAACCAGAAAATTCCAGTTCCAGGTAAATAAATATTTCAAAAGTATCTTCTATAAAGCAACTTACATAAAAAAATTAGAGCAGAAACAAGGTTTGTTTCAAAATTTTCTTCAAACAGCTCTCATGATCACCTATCAAGACGCGTTCTTTAACTGATAGTTTCATACAAAATTTGGGAAAGGAGTTGCACAGACAGTGTTATAGCAGGCAATATGTCCTGACCCTCAACAAACTAAAATCTGTAGTTTCATCCAGAATTTGTGGACACCGGACAGAAAATGAAAATTTCACAACTAAGCACCGCAGAGTGACAATTACATTCTCAAAAGTAACCAAAATCGCAGAAAACATACTTGGAAATAGAAGAATATTAGGAATTGCCTGACTTTATTGATGACACAGAAATCACCAGATTTCTCATTGTACCAAGATGAAGAACGAAATGGCTCAGATTTATGGTACCATTTACAAAGTAAAAGTTTCCAGATTCAAAACATCCAATTCCTTATAAAAATTCTTTATAAAGATTACTGTGTATGTGTAAGAACTCATAAGACCAACAAATGAGGAGGAAATTCTATTATCACTATCACAGTACTTATTTCCGTTTGAATTAAAGAAATTACAGCACAGAGAGAAAATCAACATTCTAGCTTTATCATCCTTGTAGAAGAATATTCCCAACATTAATACTACTCACCTGCCCCTTTCTCAAAGGCCTTTTGCTCAAACACAACAAGAAGCAGCAGAGTCAAGGCCTTTTATCTAATCAAATGTTTTAGACAATTCCACCTCACCTACAAGAACAGGATCACAAATTATACAACAACAAAACAAAAGTCAGTTTTGCCTGTAAGCTATAAAATTAGCCAAAGCAATCAAAGGAGCAGCTTTCTCAGGATCAAATCCTTGGAGCAACTCTAACGCATCACTCTTTAACTTCTCTGCAAACTCCCTTGACTTCTCTATCCCGATCAACTTTGGATAAGTCACTTTATCAGCCACCAAATCTTTTCCTGCCGTCTTCCCTAATTCCTTAGATGACATAGTCACATCAAGAATGTCATCCACAACCTGAAACAAAAGCCCAATATACCTCGCAAATTTCCTCATCCTTTCCACATCTTCATCGCATCCACCCCCAAGAATTGTCCCCAAAACCACAGCCGCTTCAAGCAAAGCAGCAGTTTTGTGAACATGAATAAATTCTAAATGATCCAATCCCACATCTGTTAGTCCCTCACTGGTTATATCAACAACTTGACCGGCCACTAACCCTTCAGCCCCAATAGATTTAGCTAATTCCCCAATCGCCCTTACAATCCTACCAGGCGTAACACCAACTGTAGAAACAGCTATATGTTCAAAAGCAAAAGCTAAAAGAGCATCCCCTGCTAAGACAGCTATATCCTCACCAAAGACTTTGTGGTTAGTTGGTTTTCCTCTACGAAGATCATCGTTATCCATGCAAGGAAGATCATCGTGGATTAAAGACATGGTGTGGATCATTTCAACAGCACAAGCTGCAGGCATAGCCATGGATTCTTCGCCACCAACAAGTTCACAGGCAGCTAAACAAAGCGCTGGACGGACCCTTTTGCCACCTGCTAGAAGAGAGTAACGCATTGCTTCATGGATTTTAACAGGGTCACGGAGTGAAACAGCTGACTCAAGGGCTTGGTTAACTGCAGTGGCTTTTTGAACCATATAGGATTTGAAATCAAAGGCTAGTTTTTGAGGGTTTTGTTCTTCTTCCTTGATAGTGTCTTCTTTGGTAAGGACTGCGGAAATTGAAGTAAGAAATCTAAAGCTGCGTGTTTTGGGGGTTGAAGATGACAGATTTTTTAGGGGATTGAAGGGAAGGGATCTGGGTAAAGGAAAGGATTTGGATCTGGAAGCTTGGTTGATAATGGAGTAAGATTGAACCCATGAACCCAGATTCACTGAAGCCATTTTTTTTTTTTTTTCTTTGGGTGTTTCTTTTATGTAAAAGCCAAAAAAAAACGGGGTCAATAGTTGATTAAGGGGTCAGCTAAGAGTAACAAATTCAATGCAATTTTCCACTTTTCAAATGCCAAAAAAAAAAAAAAAAGATTGTTTATGGAGTCATACCATGAGGGAGTTGGGTCAAAAATGTTGGTACTACCCCAACAAGTGGCAGAGATCTGGGGAGTGGAAGAGTTGGGGAAAAGGAAAAGGATAGAGAAGAAAGCTAAAAATTCAATGGAATTGGAATGGATGAGCATTGGTTTTAAACTTAATGCCAACCAAGAGGAGGACAAAGATAGGATTTTGAGATTATGGTGGATTCCGTAGCATCGGCATCTTTTGCAACCCCACCGCCACGATATACATAATGGTAGTTCTATAGCATTGCACCAACCAATACTAGTATTAAGCACTAAGTTGACATCAGCAGCTAGTTTAGGCCTGGTTTGCTGTGGACATGACAGGAATTACCTGCTCGTAAATCAAAACAATTTTTACAAAATTTTTTATAAAAATAAAAAATTGATTTATGATTTTTTTTTATGAGAATTAAGTAGACTTTTTTATTATTTATTTTTATCAGTTCTGATCGTCAAAGGATGGGTCATTTCTGATTTCTCATTTTAGCCATAGAATAATTCGGATAAGACATACCTGAAATTGGGTAGAATGTTATTTTTGGTAATATTTTACCATTACAAGTATTTAAAAAAAAAAAGGATAACAACTTAAAAATATAAAAAATTATAACTATTAAGATTTAAATTACATTACAAATAATTTTACAGATAAAAAAAAATTACTATGTTTTAAAGGTATTTTTCAAAGTTTTTTTTAATACCTTCCATATAGTAACTACATAGGCTTTATCTTTAAATAGATTTGGAAATTTAATTTGAGCATATATATCTGTATATATTCTTCTTTAAATTATTTGACATATATAAGAATCATATGATACGTCTTAAACATATCAGCTTAACAATTAAATTTTATCCGCAATCTAATTCCAAAAAAAGTTGACATGAAAAAGCATCCCTAATTTTTTTTTTTTGGTTAGAAGTATCTTATTTATTTTCAAAGGAATATTTTCTTTCTTCAAATGATAGATTAAAACAAGAAAAGATTCCTGCCATAAGCGACAAAAATTATACAATAACAACAACACGGGGAAGTCCCTTAATCGAATTTTATTATATTTGGTTTTTTTCACCCGATTTTTTTAAAATACTCCTACATATATCTTTTTGCTTATCTATTTCAAATCTAGTTAAGTGTTGGTTAATTAAAAGAGTACGCTCTTTCTTCGAATTTATTTAAAGATTGTAAAAAGATAATATTTCATGAATTTATTAAATTTAATGTAAATAAATCTGTTTAAATGACTCAAGAAAAAAAAAAAAACTAAACAAAGTTTAAAAAAAAAACCCGTTAAAAACAATACTACAATTGTTTTCAACATCCTAAACAGCTAACCAAGACCAAAAATAAAATGCAGAACATGGATATCACGTCTAAGGCCGCATCAAAAGATAAAAGTCCGAATTTGAACAGTCCGTTGCCATGGACGTGTTCCTCGTTTATGCCTGCCTACCTAAAACAAGTTTCATGCATGAAAGAAATTTGAAATTTTCGGTCTTGAATTATGGTCAGGGAAATGACCAATTTGATTCATCAGCAGCATAATCCAAATCCTAGAGAAAAAAAAAAAGATTAGAAAAGCAAATTGCTTTTTTCAGCATTAAAAAGAAATTGCTTTCATTTTCTTCCTCTTAAAGTCTTCACTTGTCATGGTCATAACATCATATTCGCACTACAATCTGAATGTCTGATAGTGTGATAATCATGTTCTGATGGTGTTCCAATAAACCGTTTCAAATAACCTTTAGTTCTCTATCATATGATTAAACTCAATGATATCAAGCTGATTGCAAAATTTAGTCCTCACCAGAATGTGCGACGTTGAAAAACAAATGTCTAAGAGGAAATTCTGAAATCCAACCCTGGATAATTCTGTTTATCCAATCTAAGCCCTAATCTATTCTAAAGTCCAAGTAGATATATCTCCAGAGAATGATAAGCTGCCAATTTTTCTTTTCCTTTTTTTTGTTCAAAAAGACAGCAAAGAACTAAAGTGATGATAATCCAATTTTCTTCAACTGACAGGCCTTACTTGTTATACAGGGAGAGTATGCTGAAGATAAAGAATTCAGCCATCTGCATTTAATGAAACCAAATCGTTTACCACAGATTCATTATTAAAGAGATATTGTACAAAAACACACACAAACACACACAGAGAGAAAGTACCGTTGTAAAAGAAGCTCCATAATATGGGAAAGCAGTTGTTATAAATCTCTCATATTCATTGTGCCTAAAGGATCGAACTGGAATCTGCAAGTTGCATGTCCATTAATTAGTTTTGGAACAAGAAATATGTTCTTTTTAGGAGTATGCTAGCAGTATAAGCCAGATGATAACAGGCAATATTTTCAGACGAATAGTCTGAACACATGCTCATTATTTGATTGAGACTATGTATGAGGTGTGTATGTGTGTGTTGGGAGAGTTAGATTTGAAGAGGGGATGATCTTTGGAGGAGATATGTGGCAATGAGAAATGGATTTAGATTAGTGACAGAGACTAAAATGGTGAGTAAGGGAGAAAAAAGAATGGAAAGAGGAAAGGAGGAGAGCAAGTGTGGCTGCTCTTTGGCCTCTGGCGGTGAGAGAAAACAGGGGGAGTCAGAAAAAATGGACAGTGTAGAGAGAGAAAAGAGATATCAACAAGCTTCAGGAGGAAAGAAAGGAGACAGAAGAATCAGTGTTTAAAATCAAGTATGCATCATCTTCCTCATTAAACAGACTCTAAACAAGCCCATAAACAAGTTACAATAATGCTTGTTCATGAGCCAAGCTCAGCTATGATTGAGGTTACCTTGTTGATTAAATGAGTTCTGACATTTTGTTTAGAATTGTTCAAGTAGCTTGATAAATAAATAAAAAAAAAGAACAAGCCTAAACCAAGCTCTTTAAAAACTTTATGATGAACATTTCCTCTACACCATTATAAATTAGATTTAGGAGTACCATTTCTTCAAAAGCAATAGCCTCTTGTCTATATTAAAAGCATAGTTCTAAAACAAGCTTTTGCTAGCTATAGTTAAGAATTATTCAAAGGACATGCAGTTCTAGTGCTGGGTTTGGAAAATAAGTTTACATGCTTTAGTCTTGGAAAAACACACCCCATGTACCAGAATTTAGGAGAAAACCCATCCCTATATAATATCTTGCATCCTAGTTTTTCTAATATCAAGTATTAAGGTATAGCGTCATCCATTTAACTCCTAATTGTTCATCCAATCCACTCATTAACAGTTGAGTAGCGTACTATGTTTCTAATACCTTTTAATTAATATATCCAAATGGATTTCTTATTGTTGTAAATATGAAAATTTAAAAGTAAAAACAACTAACAATTAAAATTAAATCAATCAAGCTAGAACCCAGAAGTATCATAAATGTAGAATTAAATACTGTACTACTGTTGCTTAAGTTGAGAAAACCGAAGATTTTTGTAGCTAAAAGCTTACCTGTTGGCAAGAGATAAGCTGGTGTAACCAAGCCTGTGATAGTCAACCTTAACTGAAATACCCCATAAACATCTGGCACCTTGAATGATGCATGGTACAACCCCTGTAAAATCGGACATGCATATAAACAAAAGACTGCAGAACCTGGCCAAAGACTACCTTTCCATCAGTTGAAGTGTTTTTAGCACGTAAGGGCTCATCATGTAAAACTGGACCTAAACATCATCTACCACATAGGTCTCCCAGCTCTTTCCAGACCACTCGTACATCTCAACAGAAAATTTCTGCAATCATATATATTTAGGGAGATTCAATGTGAATAGTCTCTTAAATACATATATTTTCAAAACAGAACAAATTGATGGAGGCAGTATCAAGTCATCTTCGATCCTATACATTGCAGGCTCATCTGTTTCCCCAACTTTCTGGTGTCTAAGATTAACAGCCTGAAATTAAGAACAAGATTAGGTAAGGTGTAAGAGAAGAGAAAGAAAAAGTATTTTTATGTGCAAGTTTGATAAACAAGACCATTGGCATCCTTACTGCATCAAAAATTTACTCTTTCATAGATTATATAGACCACACCAAATGGAAATTGTTCAGCATTCCTCACCTTCAAGTGACCCCTTTCATGGAAGACCCATTTGCTAATTTCCGTCACAAACTGTTCATTAGCCAATTTCTCATACCTGGTATAGTAAAGTCAAGAAGAATATAAGCTACATGCTTGAAAATATCACTGACGAACAGCAAAAACTGCTAGTTTTTCTCAAGCAGAAAACAGGGGAGGAAGAAGAAAAGTAAAGAATTAGCAGGAATACAAAGTTACACAAATATTCATAGGAGGATTTTTTTAGTGCTAAAAACATCAAAAGAATTTAGAATCCACCGGATGTGCAAAAAGAATATGCAAAATGAAAAGCCTAAAAGGTCTATTCATGATTTGTCAACTGCATCGGCAGCATTGCTGCATTCAGAAACTTCTAAATTCATGCATTAATTTGGATGAATCAGAGCATCAGATTAAATAGAAGACACTTTGTGCTTTTGCAATTATGATCAAGACGTCAATTCACCATTTGCCAACCACAGTCAATATAGCTGCAAGTCAGAAACTAGTAAATTTATGCATTAACACGGATCAATAAAAGCAAAGAGCACAACCGCAGGCATTCTAGGGAAGGAAGAAAAGAAGAAAGTTGTCTAACAACCAACATTTCAAATGTATGTAAATATGCATTGCATTGAAATTAGAATTCAAGGGACAATAGCCTTTGCCATATGATGGAAGAAACTTTATGTACTTTTGAAACTAATTGACCATCAATTTCCTATTCTCACAAAGTTACGCATGAGCAAACTATAAGTATCAAGACAGACAAACAAATATCTATGCAGTGACAATGCAAAGAAATGGTCCATTTTGGTGGAATAACTGGACAATAGTTTTATGCAGATTATGAGAACATGCAAGATAACATTATTTTTTACAAGCCATTCACATAAATGCAACAAAAAGGAAATATTCTGGTCTCACTTACTTATCTGGGCTGCCAGCTTTCTGTACAGCAGTTCTTAACAGCCTGAATTGCATAGAGGAATTTTATCAATGAAAATGAGGAAACAATATTCCAAGTCCAGCAATAAAAAACACCACATAGTATATATGCCAGTTACTGAACAAATCTAAAGAGCCAGTGATCATGATCCGAACATTGTTTCTAGCCTGCATTACGTAAAAGGATTGTCAACAATAACATCTGGACACTATAAACCACATAAAGTAGATGCAACCAATTATCCAGTTTCCTTCAGGGAAAGAGGAGTTGAATCACAAGTTCATGCCAATTACAAAGGAAAATATAAATTTATTGAGGAAATATATAGCTCATTTCATGGTGAAAGATATTGGAGAAGAAACAAAATACCTGCACAACTGAGACCAATGAAATGGCAGATCCAGTAAGCAATGTAGGGGTCAACAATTTCGATTCTGGGTTAGCAAAATAAGCTGAAGAAGACGCAGAAAGCACCTTCAAAACCTACACATCGTATCATAAACCTCAAAAAGATTAGCGTATATTAACCAAAAGAAAAAACACCATTCATCTTCAACCTTACCAGGCTATTAGCCGCATTTACTGAATGTGCAATCCCTTTAAAAAGTTATGGCGCCAAAAACATTCGCAACAAGCAAAATTTCAATTAATAAGATGAACATTGTCGCCACCAATTTCAATTTTTTTTTTGTATAAATGCAGGTCTAATTCAAGTAACACTAACCTCGATTTTGGGTTTTCCTAAAATGACATCAGAATGGATAAAATCATCACAGGCAATCAATGTATGGTCACCTTCGGTTCCGGAAATTGCATAGTTTTTGTGATCAATAACCATTGCCGATGAATCCTAAGCAATTTATTAAATTTATTTAAAAGTAAAAGACAATATTTAAAAAAAAATCCAAAAGAATAAGAAAAAGACTGACCTCATCGAAATCAACTCCACATTCAGTAGCAATGTTCTTAATCAAATTAGAAGCAGACGCATCAACTGCAACTATCAAGTCGTGACCTGAGTCAACGAAATCAAGCACCGCCGCCAAATCCAAAGATCCACCAAACCCTACCCAAGAGAATTCAAAATTACGATTAAGATATACGGAATAAATCAAAATGCGTTAGAAACGAAAGGAGGAGGAGAGAACGGTGGCGTTTTTGAGTTGTGAGTTTACTTTCGGTGGAAGGGGAGAAGAGGATCAAGGCATCGTAGAGGTACTAGCTGTAGCGTTGAAGGGAGAGAGATGGATCGTCGTGAGTTTGAAATCGATGTTGACACTGCAGGATTTGAGGGAGTTGAAGAAAATGGAGTGCGACGATTTGAGTGAGAAATCGTCGAGTAATACCAAAACTGTGCGATCCATTGGAGATTCCGGATTGAAAGAGAAACAAAAAAGAGGAAAAAGAGAGAAACCGAAGACGAAGAAGAAAGAAAAGTTCTTCATTTTCACTACTCTTCCGCAGCGATTTCTTCTGGGCGTCTCCTCCTCAGTGTGGGAAAGATAAATGGAGTTCGTTGCAACTGGAAAGAAGTAAAACGCACCGTTTCAGTCAACTTCAAGACGGGCCGGTAACTTCCTTCAAGCCCAATTTTGTAACACTGGGAAAAAAGTGGGCCCAATCCAAATTTCGTGTCATTACCTTTCTCTTTCCTTTGTACATCCTTATACAAAGTCCCCCCCCCTCCCTTTTCCATTCTTCCCTTTTATCATTTTTCCTTTGTTTCTTTTCCTTCTTCTTTTAGCATTTTCTCGAGCAGGTTCGTTACAATCTGATGAAACCAAAACACTCCTTTATTACGTTTTTTATTTTCTCTTTCCTTTTAATCGATTCTGATTACTGAAATTCTTTTGTTTGATTTATTTGCTTAAATCAGATTAAATTTCGCTGCTTTTAACGATCTGTACGTTTGCAACTAACTTTATCTTGAATTACGATCTATTAGCTATTAATTTAATTCTAATCTTTTTTGTTTTTCAAGTTTGCATTGCAAAGATGAAGAAAAGGCACTTCGTATTTTAAGTAGATTGAAAGTAGTCTAATCAAATAGCTATTGGGGAGATTCCAATTTTGAAATCACTTAAAGAGTCGATCTTTTTGGTTTTTTAAAGAAAATGAATTTCTCTTTGTATACAGTTCAAAAGTAGGAAATCGGAATTTGATAACAAAGGGAGGGTTTTTGAGTTAGGGTTTGTTAAGAACAAGTGTTTTCTTTTGATGATTTAGTTTATATTTTCAATTGATATTACTTTGGTTCTGTAACTAAATTCTGCTATCAACTATGGAAATTAATGGGTTTGTTTTAATTTTTTTAAAATATATATGTAGGAGCTATGATTCGGTTATTTAAAGTAAAGGAAAAGCAGAAAGAGCTTGCTGAAAATGCAAATGGGGGAGCACCTATCAAAAAGCAAACTGCAGGGGAGTTGCGTTTACACAAAGGTTTGCTTCTTCTGTTTTAAATTTCCTTCGGTTTTTGTTATTTGGTGTTTTGCATATGTTTTTGTTTTTCCTTGCAAGCTTCTTTAGCTTTGTGAAGGGGAGAGAGATTTGAATGAGGTTGATTTATTTAATCTTATGTTGCTCAAGCACTGAAGCTACTGGGTTTAAGAGGATCTGTGTTTGATCTAGGATTCAATTATTGCTTAATAATTTTGGCCTTCAATATGCAGACATTTCTGAGCTGAACCTACCTAAATCTTGTACCATAACATTTCCTAATGGAAAGGACGACCTGATGAACTTTGAGGTTTCAATTCGACCTGATGAAGGATATTATTTGTAAGGAATTTCTTTCATGAATCTTATCTTAAAACAAGTAACCTTTTGCTCTCTATCATAATTTTTTGGCTAAAATTCTTCTTTATGGGGGAAGAGGTGCTATTCTTTCGTACAATTGTTTTACTCTCCTTTTTTCTTATTAAGAAATCAAACAAGTATTCGACTGACTGGCTGCTGGTTTTATAGCGGTGGCACATTTTTGTTCTCCTTCCAAGTTTCTCCCATCTATCCGCATGAGGCACCAAAAGTTAAGTGTAAGACCAAGGTAGACAGCTCATCTTATTTACTTCTAGGTCCTCTGATCCTTCACTGAATTCATGTTGTGGTCTCATTTGCTTTTGGTTATAAACTGGCTTGTTTCATGTTGTATTCCAATTTCCAGGTCTACCATCCAAATATTGACTTGGAAGGAAATGTTTGCCTTAACATCCTTCGTGAAGACTGGAAACCTGTGCTCAATATAAACACCATAATCTATGGATTATATCATCTTTTCACGGTAATGCCTGGTGTATTTATAACAGTAATTTTATGAATTTGCAGCCATCTGATATTTAAATCTTTCAATTTTTGTGTGCAGGAACCAAATTACGAGGATCCCCTCAATCATGATGCTGCTGCAGTGTTGAGGGATAATCCAAAGATGTTTGAGTCTAATGTGAGAAGGGCTATGTCTGGTGGTTATGTGGGGCAAACCTTTTTCCCACGGTGTATCTAGCTTTTGCAAGGTAGCTCAAAGTGCTAATGCACACGTGTTATCAACACTTGAGTTTCCGTGGGATGTATAATTTGTCTGCAAATTACCTTTGTCATCCCCTTTGATTTTCTCAGTGGAGCTAATGGTATTATCTCCTAAAAGACCCACCAACTGAAATTCCATCTATGCTTTATTGCAGCTTTCCTAATGCTATTGTATGTTGCTGTGGCATATTTCGTCTTAATGTGGAACTAGGATAGATTGAATTTTATGTACTGGCGTAGAACATGACATTCTTTCTTAGGCCCTCTCTTTCGCTGAAAATGAACATGATGTCTTTGTTTCTTATACCCATTTTTGCTTTGCTGTGGAAGAAAATCTGCTGGGCTTGTTGGACAATCGTTCTAATAATTGAAATAATTCCTTAACTATTACAATATTCGAAATTGATCCGTTATGGAATTAGACTTGACCTTAGTAGCCGTCCTTAAATGAATCTTTAATACAATATTCGGAAAACTATACTGACAGATTTGTAATTGGCTGTTTCATTATAACATCTATGGTCATGATTTTGCAGTCGCATGTTCTTGTTTACAGGATACAACTGATATTACGTCGATGTGCCTTTATATAGATGCTCATCAACCCAATCAGGGCAGCTAATCGCTAAATGGTTTATCAAACCACAATGGTTATCCTTCAAACTATTGGTTCGCAATGTATTTCATTTGATTAGCATGGTAATGACTTTCTTGACAAATATTCTACGGTCCTTATTATCGTGAAAAGAAATTTTGAATTAAAAAAGTAACATGAAGGTGTCACTCAAATCATCTCTTCCTCTTTCAAAGTGCCTAATCTAACATTGTCACGGTCTCGCCTAAAAGTTTTGTACAATGGCGTGTAAAACAGGCAACACAACCCAAAAGGAATTGCCATCATTGATAGTAGCCCTCTGGACAATGCAAATGCCTCGCGTGGAGACCCATTGATTGGATCAATAGATCTGGAATCATAACCAAACATCTTCTCCGATAGAATACCAACCAAGGGAGCAGCAAAAGAAGAAAACGATCCTTCAAAAGCACGATCAAACGCATAGATCATGGTCCGATGTTTAGCAGGGACGACTTCAGCAAACATAGGACCATTTGCTGCCGTAGCATTCCAACTGATGGTTAAGCCCATCAAAAGGAGGGTGACGGCAAAGGTGAAATAGCTGCTTACTGATTGTGGAATCACTTTAAGAAGGAACCATGAGAATGGGATGCCCATGAAGGCACTGAATTGTGCACACATGATACGGCCAGAAGGGGGGTAAATCTGTGACATTCTATCTGCTATTAACCCACCAACAAAGGATCCCATTGCACATCCTGTCGCAAAAAGACTTAGGAGTGCTGCTGTAGAATTATGATCAAAACCTGGGAATGTAAAAGGAAGACTCAAAGGTGTCAAACTTCAAGCACCAAACAGATCATTCTACTCCTATGATAATTGACGTGGCAAACTATAGAATTTGCTAATGTACTTACCTATTAGTTCAAACCACATCGTAAAGAATACCATGGCAGTCCATGGTAGTGAACCAACAATTCCCTGCAAGACAATTATCTGAAATGTTGGAACTTTTATAACAGCTTTCGTGGCCATCCAGGACTCAAACCAAACAGATGAGACTCGGGCATTCCCTTTTTCTATCAGCTCATCCCTGCAACAAAAAGCTGTTGAGTCACCAAATTGATATTTGAGACAATGAAAATGCTACTAAATTAAAAAAAAAAATGACTTGCACAACTATTATTTGATTGGTAAGGGACTAAGGGTATTATCAGGGGTGGGTCCAAGGCATGAACCCTAAAATTAGAAAATAAGAAAATTTTTTCTCTATACACTCCCAAAATTTTTCCCTGGACATCCTTTTCATCTATAAAATTGGTAAAACTGTCGGCCATTTTTTATACATATTATAAGTGGACACAAAAAAAAAATCCTGGATCATTATGAATATACTTACATGGTGGTAAGACATTGAAACAGAAAACAAAACTTTGAAGGAGCAATTAGTACCTATCAAGATTGTAGCCAGCAGCATGATTGACACCAACTGCTTTCCTAGGATCAACAACAAATAGGAACACAAGGAGCCCAATCAATGAACTTAAAGTTGCCATCATAATAAAGGCACAACGCCACCCAGGCATACCCCAGAACTCCTGACCAGCCATAATCGTAGCAACAACACCACCACCAATGCCACCCAAGGTACCAACAAGGCTTAGCAGCCCAAATCCAGCACCTCTCACACCATCCATGTAACTATCAGCAATGAAAGACTGAAGTGCTGGTATTACAATTGCCAGTCCAACGCCATTAACTGCTCTCCACAGTGCAACCTGAGGAAATTGTTGGCTGCCACCCACTGCAGCAGTTGATAAGGCCCAGCAAAAAGTGCCGATAGCAAGAACTTTAGGGCGATCATAGTTAACTACAAGTACACCTGCCAAGGGAGATGCCAATCCCTGCACAAAGTTCCTTATGAAGGTGAGATACCCAAGATCGGATGGCCCAGCATTGAAAGCTTCACTAACTTCTTTGTAGACAGATGGAAGGAGGTTTTCATCAGCACGTTCCATAATGGCAGCCAAGTTGATAAGAAGGAGAGAAAGAGAAACACCAAAAACCTTTCTTGCTCTGTGAAATGTTAAAGTATTGTCAATACAATCAATACATAAGTTACCATTTCCAAAAGAAAAGGAGCAAGCATTGCTAATAATTATTGCAATTGCACAAATGCATGACCATGCATACATAAAAGTATTTTGCAATAGGCACAAGATCTAAAAGCAAAATCCCCAAGGATTAAAAGTTTGTATAATACTATGACCATATGCACATACCAAAGCACTCTTAACATATTAGCTAACTCAGATATGGTCCCTCCAAGTGTTAGGTACATATCTCATGGTAGGTATAATAGCTATGACAATTCAAGAATTATGCATGTAGCACCAGTAAAATTCTCATTTGGATATCTTCTGAAAATACGGATAATCGAATAAAATACCAACAATAGAATATGCTTTCTTTTGCAACTAATGGATGTTAGGAAAGAAACCAAAGATCAAACCTTTCAAGGTGGCCTCCACACAAAATTCAAAAAGAGGAAGTCAATGCCTTCACTGGCTAGATTCACTAATCTAAGAAAATACATTATCCTTTGACAAGGATACCTGCAAGGCATTGTATTAATTAAATAAAATCTCTTCATCTAAGTTTGCAGACAAGGAATTCTGGTCCATTAAGAGTTTGACACAAAAATCAAAAACAGTAAGACAAAGAAATATATCGGACGAATTCAGCACAGAACTATAATTATCCAAGTCCACCTATTTGTAAGTACTGAAGTAGCAGCAATTTGAAGTGATGTCTCAAACATAGTTTAAACATTCACATTGAATTAGGAACCACATAGCAACTTCAATGGAAACCAATAAACCTAAGGAAAAAACCAATATCAGATAATGGCAATATGTTCTGGCTAACTAGTTGTCAGCAAACAAGGAAATTGCGTTTTCATAGCTTACTATACACAGACATCAACCCTCAATGGTTATAGAGTATAACTTTAGAAAGAAACTAAAATGGTAAAATTTCTGGTAAAGATCAATTTCCCTAGCGAATATACACACACACACACATACATACATACATACATACATACATATATATATATATATATATATTATTGTCAAAAGCTTCAGAGCTACATCCTACCGTTAAAAAAAAAAAAAACTTCTAAGGCATGGTCTGTTACTTCATTTGCTTTTCTAATAGCATAAAATGCCCCTTCAAAGACTTTTACTTTCTATATTCCGATAATAATAAGACAGAAACTAAGTACCCAGATCCACAATCAACAAGCAATCAAATCATAAACGCTTCAATAATCAGAAAAGAAAAACCGAAAAATCAAAAGACAAAGATTTGAAAAGAAACTCACTTCATGGCTTGAAGATGTCTACGAAACAGAGGCTTCGATCGAACAGAAACAGAAGATCTTAAGCCCATAAAATCAAGAAAACACGTTAAAATCCAGGAAAGATGTGTTCCCAGCTTCGATGCGGATGTAGAACACCCACTTGCCCTGTTGAAACAAAAAGACTCCGGCCATCCAGGAACTCATCAGGAATTTATCCTCAAGAAAAATATTCAAATCCCAATCAAATCAAAACAAGATATTTATTTTAATTAATTTAATAATCATGTTTCTGTTGAAATATAATACTACAATCAACACGTAAGTCAAAAACCCAAACTCTTAAAAATAGTATTTCTCCATTAAAAAACCCAGGGAAGAGTTTAAAAAATAGAAAGTTGATTAATTTATCCGGTTTAGTGAGAGGTTGCTTTCGAAATGTGCCCGCCATGAACCATCGTGGCTTGAAGTAAACAGCTGGTTTCATTCATGCGATCCAAACTAGACTTTGGATTGCTGGCGTTATGTCAGAATTTCGAGCTAAAATTCTAGGATACGTGGTACCCTGTTTTTTAGGTTGCATTTTTCCTAAAAAAATAATAATAGTAACAGTTGTTTTTTTCTGGTCTTTGACCTTCCCTAACGAAGGAAAAAACGTGTCCGAAAAATTGAGAAAAGATCCGAATTTCTCTGCTTTGCTTCAATTAAATCTAAGATTAAAATTTTAATAATTTTAAATTAAATATAAAAATAACTTTAAAACTTTAACAAATATTAACCTTAAATTAAAAATGCACTAACCATCTTTCAATCAAATAATTTTTTAAATAAAATACATAATTAGTCATCTAATTATACAAATATTTTTAAGATAATCACTTAATTATTATTTTTTTAATTTAATCACTTAAATTTGAAAAAATATTTTTTTATCACTTACAATTAGTTTTTGATAATATATTACAATGACACTATCAATTAGCACTATATCTTATGCGGTATATTATCATGTCATTTAATATATTACATAATACATTAATAATTAACGTAAAAAATAATATGATATTGTCACGTGATACTTTATAGTTAACGTAATAATATTACATTAACATACTATTGAAAGCTAATAGTTAGAACGAAAAAAAAACTTACTCAAACTTAAATTAATAAATAAAAAAAATTAACAATTAAATGATTATTTGAAAAATACTGACTAATAATGTATTTTATTTTAATTTCTTTTTCTCTAGAAAGTTTTTATCCGTATGAAATTTTTTTAATTTTTTATAAAAATAAGTGTGAGCAACCAACCAATAAAAAAATAACTACTAGTAAAAATTTATAATAGTATTCTTAGTAAATAATGAATTCTTGCATCGATATAAAATTATACTTTAGGATTTGTTGATAAATTTTGCATTTTGTACATTATTTTAGGAAATAATTTTCTATTTGATGTAGTTATTAGTTATTAGTTCTTACAAATGAAAAAAAAATGAATTTTATATATTTTAACTGACAAAAATAATTGATTATTCGTGATATAGACTACTAAATATTCCTAGCCATATTATAGTATATAAGTACATATCAACAGTTAGAAAAAAATTGAAAGAAATTAAAACTTTGAAGATTGATTTGCATAATAAAAATTTTTCTATAGCAAAGTATGAATTTTTTACTTTATTTAGCATTGAAATTATGATGTAAAGAAAATTTTTTAATATAAACACTTTTAAATTTCAATGCTAAGCCGAGCCTTGATAATACTACAATTCAAGATTCCAGAGATATCAAAATTTATTGAGTGAACATAATAGTTTTGCCTTCTCTATCTATGATCAAAGCAGGAAAAAAAGAAAACAAATTGCATTTATTATGAATTGTTCTAAAGAAAATTAAAAGTAGCCCGAACTAAACGCTGAGACGTTGTTTTCCTCTTTGGATAGGACCCGTCGCCTTTGACGATCTGGTGGGAGCATGGGCCCTAGTAATAGCAACATACATGTTACATTTGCCTATTAAAAGTTTGGGCTAATTTCAGCCCTTATCTCACAATCGCCACCCAACCCAAAAGCCGAATCCCTAACCCCTCGGCCTTGGCTACACAATAAATGGGCCCTTTTCACCAAGCATCAATGCCAAGTATTTTTTCGTTCATACAGTGTCAAGTTTGAGCTGGCCCTTTAAGTGAGTTTATTCCCCCCTCTTTGCTTCGTAATATCTGTTGGAGTGCAATGAGAATTTTTTTTATATAAAAGAAGTTATAATTTGATGATAGAAAAAAATTTATAGATATTAAAATTTATTAAATGTTAATTTTTAAACTGATTATATTAATCAATTAAGTTAAGTTTTTAATTTAATTTTTTAATATTTAAGATTGTCAAAAAATAAATGTAATAAATGAAATTAAAATTTTAATATTTTATCAATAATATCATATGATAATAAAAAATTAATGAAAAGATCTCTACCGTACAGTTTTGCCTCACCAAATTGGGTTTTCTTGAACTCCACAATCAAATAGGAGAGATCGTCAAAAAGAATCCTTTTCAAATGTCAATATTTTCATTATCAATAACGTGTCGATTGCGAATTGAAACTATTTGAATTAATCTTTAAATATTATTTTTATTAAAAAAATAATATTTTATTAAAATTTTATATTTTCAGAATAAATTTCACTTTTATTTTTTAAAAAATATAGATTTTTTTAATCTAAAATTTTTAAAATTAATTTTTTAATCAATTAAAAGAATAATTTAATATTACCCATAAATAAAATTTAATTAAACATATTGCCAGGTGTTAAATAATGGTGTTTGAAATGCCTACTTGCTATCAAATTCAATTTCGATTTATCATGAAAATACGTTGATATGAAAAAATAAATAAAATCATAAAAATTATTTATTCAATGCAAAAAAGAGATTCGGAACAAAATATCATAAAATCTCAAGAAGAGAATGATTTCAGATTTCTCTTGTTTTCCCTTACCAGATATCATTGAAAATATCAAATTCTTCTTGGATGCCATAAATAGTACGAAATATCAAATAAAAAAATCACTTTATGAAAAATTTTCTGAAAAAGGAAAGTTAAAATCCATCTGCCAAACCAAACTCCCTGTATGGATAAAATATGACGTGATACTAAAGTAATACAAATTTGGATTAAATTAGTCCTAATATTCCTTAAACACGACTCTAATTATCCCTTGATTGATTAAAATAATGTAAAGCATCGTGATTCAAACGCCAGCCTTAAATAAATTGGTATTGTTTCCTACGTGAACTAAAACCCTATAGATCTAAATGTCTTAGTAAGGCCATTTTGAATTTATGTAGTTGAGATGTTTCCATGGCAACTTCATGGATTGATCATTAATATCATGACCACCAACACATTATTTCCTTCACAAAATTTCTAATGATATCAACTACGAATATTATCAATGTTCATCATACTTTTCATAATCAAATTCACATTGAAAAAGAGAAAATGTGAAACGAAAACAGCTTTCATTGTTATTTTGCCTTAGTTAAGCAACTAAACTTTGTTTTTCGTGCTCAATTTTTACATACCCTTAAGCACTGATTAAGGAAAGTTAAAATACCATTTTAAAAAAAAAATTTACATTCAAGGTATTATTTTTTATCAAATTTTAAAAGTAACACATTAATTATAAGTTTCTTTAAATATCACTTCAATCTGCGCCTAATAACATCAGTTAACATTTTTTCAAATTAAAAATGAAATTTTGGTTAATAAACACCAAATGTGAGTTTAATAAATAATTAAACAATAAGATTAGATCAATTTCGATATATTGATTCAAATCATGTAGGATTTCTAATTATTATGATATTTATAAATATCTCCCGTCTTGTTTGACTTAAAAATTTAATAACTTACTTATTCATGGATTTTGTTCACCAAAGAAATTAATTTAAGAAGTTAGCCTCAATTAAGTTATTTTCATATCAATTCATCATTAGATAATACTGCTAGTTGATAATTTTGATGTGTATAAAAAGGTTAAAACATTTTAAATTTAATTAATTTTATTTATATAAATATATTTAAAATATAAATTTTAATACTTAAATTTTTTTATTTTCTTGTGCGATATCATTCCTATCAAAAAAAATTGAAGAGGAAACTTGAGATTAAAATGGAAAATGGTGCATCAACCAGATCAGCTTCCAGGAAAATGTTTTCGATCACTGACCGCCCACTTGCTGCTCTCTTACCAAGGAAGACCAATGAGAGCCGGTGCAGCCCTTCTCGGAACAACAAGACAAAAAATAATAATAATAAAGCCTAGGTGGTCCCCAGAAAGCAAAAGACTGCAAAAGGCATGCCTCTATCCCGCACGTGGGGAAAGTCTCGTTGATTTTATGGCTTTGCCAGTTAACCCCTCTGGTCTTTCCTCTCACTTCTAAGCCTAGCTGGAACCGCACGTGCCCTACCACGAGCATTGCTTGTACTTTTCCTAATCCAACTTTAATTATCATCCTTCCCACGAGACTGATCTTACGCTTCAATTGTTTTGCAAAAACTATTTTTTAAAAAAAAATTTAATTGTTTTGATATTTGTTTGATAAAAATTTTTTTTAGTTAATAAGAAATGATTTTTTATCAATTAGAAAATAAATATATTTTTAAAAATTATCTTTTTTTTAAATAAACAAATAATTATTTAAAAATAATTATTCATAAATAAGTTACTCATCAAACTGGAGAATTTAATAAAACTAAAGCCAGACCTTAGATATAATTTATTAAATTTGAACTAAAGTTTATTCGATTTAAATATTATTATATTAATAATTTTATTTAATTTAATTTTTAATTTAAAAATATTTAAAATATTAATATAAAATATTTTAATATTTAATTTAAAATATTTTTATTTTGAATATTTTAAATATAAATATTTTAATAATAAAAAAATTTTGAATGACATGATTGAATAAAATATTAGAGTAATGCTAAAATAGAAAATAATGTAAATCATATGATTCAAGCAATATGTTAAAGTGATGAAATGTATTGGATGTATCGTGTAATTGTAACATATATGTTAAGTTAAAAGTAAAGTTATATAAAATAACTGTAAGATTTGCATTATTATATGATATTTAGTTTTAGACTCTTAACAAAAAAACATGAGAATAAAATGAATATAACGAATATGATAATACTTGAATAGATATGTGATAAAATTAAAGAAACAAAATCAAAAGGAAGAGATTTACGAAAAATTAAATGTAATTTGAATTAAGGAAAAGATGAGAGATAACTGTTTGAGATTGTTCAAACATGTGAAACGTAGATTTATTTGTATATCATCAAGAGAAATAAAATTCAAAATATTAGAGAAAGCAAAACTTCTAAAAATAGACCATAAAAGACATGAATACAAAACAATAAAACATGATATAAGAATTAAAGAAATAGATGAAAGTGTTATTTTTTTATAAAAATTAGTGGTGCAAAAATATTTAAAATTACGACTTAACATGATTCATTTTTTTTATCTTTCATATAGTTAACTCCAAAGTTATAAGATATATGACTTAATTTTTTGTTATTGTTATTAATTGAATAAAAAATATATTAATTAAGTTTGAATTCATGACCTAATTCAATTAGTTTATTTAATTATTTTTTTAAAGTAACTCGTATAATTACTTTTAAAATATAACATTCAATAGGTTTAAATTTCAAATCACAATGTCTGTAACTCATTCATTAACCTTAAATTACAATCCCTTTTATGCAAAAAATTAGAAACATTATTCTTTTTGATGACATATTTTTTTATTTAGAATAAAAAATTTAAATAATAATTTTATTTCTATTTGAGTTTAAATATGATAATTATGTTTGTTATCAGCTTAAACTTATAAGACTTAATTATTTAATTTGATACATATTAGAGTTTTCAAATTTTGAGTTATAAATAAAGGACATTAAAAATTTAAGAAAAACTATTTCATTTATTATCAGTAAAATTTTTAGATTTCACAAATGAAATTAGCATAATGACATATTCTCTTAAAGTATACTAAAAAAATTAATTAAAAAATAATATATATGTTAATCTCTTAACTTTGTTTATGAAATTAAAAATTCATTGATATATATCGAAAACTGAATTTAAAATTTAAATATAGTAGTGATTGAATAATTTCTTATCAATTTGAGTTTATAGAACAATCAATATCCAACTTACCATTGCTAAAATTAATTAGTTTTCACTAAGATTTAATTTGGTATAATTGATGCAGTTAAAAAATTTTAGGTTGAAAAAATGCATTTAAAAAGAATAATGAAAAAAAATGTGATTAATATTTTTAAGTGTTTAGTATTGTTATAAAAAGTATTATGAGTAATTGAAATGTTTTAAAAATATGGATAAAATATTAAAATAATAAAGTGATTTTTATCTAAAATGTAATTTTCACCTTCAAAACACTTCTTAAAAAGTTTTTTAATTTGAATTGAAAACTTAAAATTTTAACGAAAAAGCTAAAAGTTTTTTGTTATTTAATATTACGTTTAAATCAAAAGTAATTTTTAAACATAAAAATTACTTTCAACGTTATTATTAACGGGCCTAAATTGAGGCATTTACAAATATACTTTAGTCAAGGACGAGTTAGCTGCTGGCTGAGCCGAGCCGAGCCGTGGGTCCTGTATCAATTAGAGAGAGAGAGAGAGAGAGAGAGAAACACGGACCACTTCACGCGTTCCAAGCGAGGTCGGTCCCCACACTTGGTTGGACTCTGCGAGGGCTAGGTTGAGTTGAGTTGTCCACTACATTTATTTATTATTATTAAAAAAATAAAATACAGAGATTTCGGTGTCGCACGTGTGGAGCCGACCGACCCCACCAAAAGTTGCTGTCGGAAGGAGGACCCATTGGGTCCCATCCTCGAAGATTGTAGTTTGTCCTCATCTGTACCGTTCAAACTGATCATCACGTCAGTAGACACAAAAAACCTCAATTACCGGAGGGATGGCATCTTTTTTCTTTTTTTTTTTTAAACTCTGCCAATATTCTAAATAAGTAGTTGCACTCTTTCCAAGGATTATTTGGATAGGATGAGATTGATTTGGGTGAAGATCTATTTATATAGATAAAATTAAAATTTATAATAAAGATAAATTTTATTATTATAATATTAATATTAAAATTAATAATAAAATATATATTTAGATATAAAAATAATAGTGAGAAGAATTATAGAGAAAGAAAAATAATTATTAAGAATATTTGATTAAAATTTATATATAATAAAAAATTAAATTATTTAATATTTATAAAATTTATAAATAATTAAAAATATTTTAATGATAAATAATGAAAAATTAATAATAATATATTAAATAATATTTTTATTATATTAAATTAAAAATTATTTCAAAAGTTTTAAATAAAAATAAAAAATAATAAAATTTTTTGTATCCATAATAAAAATTAAAGGGCAAAAAAAAAAAAAAAAGGAAACAAATCTCCGGTGAAGTACTAAACCAACAATAATCAATAAAAAATTTGCATCAATTGCACTGCCCTATTAAAATCAAATACATAATTATATAATGCACAGTGCGGTTTGCACAATCTCCCATAGCAACCATGGCAACCGCACCCCGACTTAAATTCAAAGGCAGCCTAAAACTCTTATTGCTTTTATGACCGTCGATTATTGCTCTATAATTGTGATGGAAAATTTTTATTTATTTTTAATATTTATGCTCGTCCAATTTAAAATTTTTATTTCTTATATTTTAAGCAATTAAAGATTAAATTTTAATCAATAAAATTAATGTTTCATTTGATAAATTAAAAAAATAAGTGTAAGATTGAGTATTAAAATTTTAATATTAAATTTGAATTATAAAATTTTTTGATGTTTTATAAAAAAATTAAAGGCTGAAAATAAATAATATTATTTAATAACTGTAAAATATTGAATTATGAAAATTTATCTTTTAAATTTATTTTCATTGTAGATAATGTAATAATGTTTTTACTAGATAATATTTCAAAATATTAAAAGAAATATTTAGAAATATTTTCTACATTAAGTGATAAGTAGATATTTATTTCCTTATCTTACTCAATATTTTTTAATTAAAAAAATTTATCAAGTGGATTTTAAAATGTCTTATAAAAAACATTGAAAAAAATAAATTATTAAAAATTTTCATTTTCGATGTATTAAAAAATTTTCCATGTGTTATCCAATAGGGCATAAATGTTTAATATTGTATTAACATAATTGTTACCAAATTTATTTCGCTAGTATCACTTCAAATAATATGAAAATATTATTTAAAAAGATTAATTAATGTCAGACAATTAGAAAAGGAAATGAGTGCATACGGAATACTTTAGTCACACGTGTGATCTAACATTAATTGATATGAATATAATTATTATTCCTTTCTTTTCATATGTTTGATTTGATTTTTTTTTTACAGTTAAATTTTATTAATTTTGATTTTTTTATTATATTTATAAAATTTTGAGTTAAATATTTTTGGAAAAATATTTTTTTATATTTTAATTAGTAATATATTTAAATAAAAAATGAAGTTAAAATAAAAAAAAATAAATCAGGACATTATATATAGGATAAAAAATAATAAAGAAAAACAATCAAGAAAAGGAGGAGAGGGGGAATAATTGCGAAAACATTATCCAGGTCAATAATGGAGGCTACCCATTTCTTTATGGGCCCAACGTAGCGAAAAAAGAATTGCTGTGTTTGCCTATTGCAAATCTGATACAACCAAATTCATCATGAATCAAAGCTTTGACTAGTCTTTTAGCCCTTGTGGCTATCAATTAGCTCCCACCAAGCCAAATGTTATCCTTACAAATCTTATTCATTTATTGTGATTAACAAATATCTCAAATCAAGAACTCAGTGATTTTTCAATTACATTTTTGATCTCTCAAGTTAAGAAAACACAACGTCCAAATGAGTCAGTTCCTTGAAACTTTTTCCAGGAATAACTGACAAAAGACAATCGTTTTGAAGCAGAAGTGAGGTCATAGATTCACCAAACTCTGGCCCTTTCCTCGTTTCCACAAACCAAAATTGAAGAGAAGCATGTCAAGAAAAATTCTCACAAAATTGTTTTTACGAAAACAACCCTCCTCCATGTGGCAAAGTAAGGCAGGCACTTTAAAGTGTACTGATAATTTATGGCTCTGTGTCACATTTGTTTTATGTTAAAATGTAAATATAAATATTAAAATTATATTATAATATATGGTTTACATAACATGTTAAATATTAAACATATATTTTTAATTTTTATAAATTTATATAACAATTTTATTAACATTTTAATTGAAAATTTTTATTAGTTTTAATCATGGTGTCTTATATGAATTTAACATATATACAAATTTTATTGACATTTTAATCATAATTTTTTATTAGTTTTAATCATTATGTCTTATATTAACTTAGCGTATCTAAGTTTTCCGTTTCTGATTTCAACTATGGATTAGGCTTTAATTAATAGTATTATTTTCGATAAGTTACTAGGCAATCAGCCTACCTAAATTCATAGGCTTCAACTGCACATAGCCAATCCTTTATTTTATATCACTTTCTATGTAAGAGTACTTTATTCATGAAAGTGTGAAAACAAAATAGAAAAGAGGGGCTGAGAGAGAAGAATCTACGGGAAGCAAACAGTGGAAAAGCGTTTTCTCTTCATTGGAACAAACAGACTTCCAAGTTCAACGATCAAGAAAGCAATATCCTCGTGAGAGAGAGAGAGAGAGAGAGAGAGAGAGAGAGAGAGAGACTTGTCCCCTTTGTGTCTATCTTTGGACTTGGCCCAATTCTCTTTCTCTCCTTAATGCAACGATTACTTCTTCTTCCGGTAGATAACATACAGCTTGAAGCTCGAAACAAAAAGCAAAGGTCTTTGAAAGAGAAAAAAAAACAAAAACAAAAAATATGACTGGGGCATCAGGGAGATTACCAACCTGGAAAGAGAGGGAAAATAACAAGAGGAGAGAACGGAGAAGAAGAGCTATAGCTGCAAAAATATACTCTGGGCTTCGAGCTCAAGGTAATTTTAAGCTTCCTAAACATTGTGATAACAACGAGGTCTTGAAAGCTCTTTGTTCTGAAGCTGGTTGGATCGTTGAAGAAGATGGCACCACTTATCGCAAGGTTCGTCTTTTTTTTCTTCTCAGATTTATGTGTGTTTCTTCATTGTACACTTGTAGATCTACATGCATGCATTGTTTTGATGTTAAATTTTGGTTTTTTGATGGTTGTTCCGAAATGGGTTTTGATTGATCTTTGATCTTTTATGTTTTTTCTTTTGTGATCAACTTGTTTATCTGGTATATTTTTCTGATGTAATTATTGATTGAAATTCTGGGTCTTTTACTTTGGCTTGACCTGGACTGAAGAAGGGAAGAATTAATGGAAAAGTTCTATGTTTGATTTCCTTTGTACTAAACCAAATTACATAAAAGTTTGATCTTCTAGCTAATCTTGGTAAACATTCTTTTGTTTTAAGACCTGATCAAGATTTTCCTTCTATTATAGATAGGTATATATCGTGGTTGTCAAGCGAATAATGTAATACTAACAAAAAAGATCTATCTTTTGATTTTTTTTTTAACTACTGTTATTTTGTTGCTTCATCAACATATTTGGATCATACTTTTCCTAATTCCTTTGATAATGGCTTTGATAGGGATGCAAGCCACCTCCATCTGAGCTTGCAGGGGCCTCAGCAAACATCAGTGCATGTTCATCTATACAACCAAGTCCACAGTCCTCATCTTTCCCAAGTCCTGTACCTTCCTACCATGCCAGTCCATCCTCCTCCTTATGCCCGAGCCCAACTCGTTTCGATGCAAATCCCTCAACCTACCTCCTTCCATTCCTCCGCAACATTGCAGCCATCCCTAATAATCTCCCTCCTCTTAGAATATCTAATAGTGCTCCCGTAACCCCTCCCCTTTCTTCCCCTACTTCTAGAGGATCTAAGCCCAAAGCTGACTGGGAATCCCTTTCCAATGGCTCCCTAAACTCGTTTCGCCACCCTCTTTTCGCTACCTCAGCTCCATCTAGCCCCACAAGGCGGCATCACCGCACACCAGCCACTATACCGGAATGTGATGAGTCTGATGCCTCAACTGTGGACTCTGGTCGCTGGATGAGCTTTCAGGCAGTGGCATCCACAGCAGCTGCAGCTCCTCCTTCGCCTACTTTCAATCTTGTGAAAAGGGTGGTTCAACAGAATCCTCTCCAGGATGGTGTCACTGGGCATGGAGGGGTGACCTGGGGGACAGTAACAGAGATGGGGAGAGGCTCTGAGTTTGAGTTTGAGAATGGTAGAGTGAAACCTTGGGAAGGTGAGAGAATACATGAGATTGGTGTGGATGATCTGGAACTTACACTAGGGACTAGCAAGACCTGTGCATAAGTGTGATCTCGATCAGTTCATTGTGCATTCTCATATTTCTCGGTTCCTTGTGCCATATTCGAAGTCTTCTATGAGTTCATGCATTGCTCAGAGATCATCATTCCTTTACTTGCCATGGCATATCTCTTTCACATGTGAACAGTTTTGAGCCCAAGGGGACTTTACAAGATCTAAAAAGTTAAGCCTAATATTGCATTTCATTGCCTAAGAAGGAATTTACAGGCCGGGAGGACACTACAAGTTCAATCTTTCAAGTTGTATGAAAGAAAGACTCTGGCAATCTAGAAATTTAGGGGTTTCTATAAAACTTGTTCCCCTTTCAATGTTTATGTTTACAATTTTCTTATAAATTCTTCATTTATCTTATGGTTGATAGGATTCTATTTTGTCAGATAGAGAGATTGTGTTCATTTTCTAGTTTGCAAATCAAAAGGATTTATCAATCCTTTGATGAAAACACAAACTTAGAATTTCAAAGGCAGCAATTACTACTATTTTTACTCACTACTAGTACCAGATATCTTGATGGAAATTGATCCCTGATTCCTGCTCTTTCACCATCGAATCTATCTGTTTACCAGCATTTAGATAATAGAAATGATATGACAAATGAACTGAAATAATACCAGTACTTGGTTGATTTTCTATGGGAATGGTAGGGCCATTCTCTGTTGTCTAAATTGTTTGATTTCTTATTTAAAATGTATTATGAAATTTGTGCAGTTTTGGGGATTGCGTAGGTCAAAGAGCATCTTAGAATGAACCGACGCCACCCCCCCCCCCCATGAGGGTTGAGGGGCCCTTTCACGTGATGTGTATTTTTGTGTAGGCATGTGATATATGTCACGCTTGATGTTGTACCAACCAATTCAATAACTTCGTTTCTCAATTATTAAATGTACTGGTGACCCGAGCTCGGTTTCGCTGAACTGTTATATTAATTTTTAGTATTTTTATTAAATTAAAAGTTAAAACAATACATACAGTTAACATAAAGTAATAAATTAAGAAAAAAATTAACAAAGCTTTTCTAAAATAGCTGTAAACCACATAGAAAATGTTGGTTTATTAGAAGTCAATAAAATGTACCGAACTCTGCGTGGGGTCATTGCTAGAGTTCCAACTGACATACATAAGGGAAAGGAGTCTCTTGAACCTCTTATTTGAAAACCAGAGGCCTAATTGTTGTTAAAAGAATCAAATAAATCACTGCATTTTTCTGTGCCTCAATTATTATTGTTGTTATGACCCATCAACAATTGAGAAATACTACTAATCAATACTTTTCTTGTCACCATTCTCCTCTCATAAAAGTTAGATACACCTTTAATTTGTGTAGGATTCGTTCACATGTGGTTTTAAGTTCAACTTTGTTGGCAGGGATGGTTAAGTTGAAGGTGGAAATTGGAGCATTTTGGTCAAATTTTAAAGAAGGGAAATGTAATAAAACATAGGATATCGACATAATTCTATTGTGTTTGCATATAATGAGCTAAAAAAAAGAAACAAATGCTGGTTACTCAAATAATTACATATTGGAAAGAGGGGTGGGATGATGATAAGGATGGATAATCAACTATCGGACCCAATATTAGAACAACACTTCTGCTTTTTCAAAAACTACATTCCCATTGCAAGAAAAAACTACATTCAAAGGAAGCTGTCAAAGTACTTCACCAGCAAAGACTAAAAAGGTGATTAATTGCCCAACATTTCATAAAAATTCCCTCATCTTAACCAAGAAAAGAGGAAAAAAAATTAAAAAAATATATAAACCCTCGAACTTACTAAGATCAATTAAATAGGCAAAAGAAAAAAAAGGCATATACAAAGTAAGACTTCCATTTAGTGCACAAGCAATGAAGCAATAACAGTAAAGCAAAACACGAATAGTTAAGAAATTGAGAGAGCCTGCAGCATACCTTATCGAATAAACGTGTAAATAAACAGTCGAATCCAATCCGGTATGTTCAGTAAGCTCAAGTTTTGAAATTCTCAATGCCTTTGGCATCCAATTCAAAAACCTCAAGTACGAACAAAAATCCAAATTGACAAATTTCGTCACAAATGCCCCAAACCTAGAAGGATTGCTTCTTAAACCCTTGAGATATCATTTAGGAAAAAAACCCTATCATTGAAAGTTTGAAGCCTCAATATAACAAACGCTAGAAAGAATACAAATACATTGAGCAGATTAATTGCTGTTGCAATTCCTATATCTCGTATGGTCACCATCTTTATAAAACCTCCCTGCATAAACAAAGATAATTCCAAATCAGGAAATCTACCAAATTAGACAAATAAGCTTTACAGGCTACAATATATTCCTACTATAAACATAAAAATCACTGCTTCAAAACAGAAAACTCACGGCAAAATCTCTAGTTTTCCATATAAGCATAAAAAAGCCGTATTTTTCACTAATAAAACTATTGTTTTCCAAACAAAAAACTAACTCAATTTCACTATAAAAGAAAGAACAATTCCTTTTAAGTGCCCTTATTTAAGATGAATAAATTCAATCACATTCAATACAAATCATCAGAAAAGGGAAACAAAAGATACGTTCAAATAGAATAAAATTCTTACTTGTTTGTGATCCTTTAAGTGAAAAAAAAAAAAAAGAACAATTTTTGGGCTATCTAAAGAGCCAAAGAAAGCCCTTTATCAGAAGTTGAACGAGGGAGTGTATGGATCGCTTCAGAACTCAATTAAAGTAAGAACATTCCTTATCCGTCTACTAATACTTGAATACCCTGCAACTTCCTATCTCTCAAACAACACACCATCAATACCACATACGCATCACCTATATCCCAAAATCCTAGCACCATAACTGTCACTAGCCAATACCTCCCACTGAACCCACCATTTACTGCCAGTTTCACTGCCACCTAAAACTCTTTTTCCACCACCATTCTTAACAAAAAAGACATTTTTTAATCCAAAAATTCTAAACCCGAAGGCTTAAAAACAGTTACGAAAAAAGTGCAAAAAAAAAAGGAAGTAAAACAGAGAGGTTTTGGGTATCTGAGATTTTTGGGTTTACATGAATTTTGAGTCGTGATATCTTCCATGAATGCCACGTGATCTTTGGATATCCTCCACGAGTGTCGCTTGATCTTTTGATACCCTTCATGAATGCCACGTATCCTTTGATATCTTTACAACCACACTCCGAAAACTAGAAGGAAAAGTAAAGGGCGAAAAAACAATGAAAAGCCAACCCAAAAACTGGATACGTGGCAACTTCAGCATCCATTGGATTCTTTTTATATATAGTAGTATAGATGTACATTGGCTAACACCAAAAAGGCCATGCCTTTCTCCCTCCAATTTTATGCTATACTTTTTTTTTTTATCTCATCTTAGCTAAGAGTGGAGGAGATGCTTATACATGAGGCGGAGGTGGATGGTTATACAAGTCGAAAGAGGTCGTTGGTTCTCCCAAAATTTTAAAAATGATCAAGTTTGTTAAAGAAATCAAATAATTTATAAATTTGGTTTATTAAATATGAATGTATTATGTTTAGTTGATTCAGTTAAATCATTTAATAATATTTTAAAATTTCAATGATATATTTACGAAAAATCAATAAAAAAGTATTGTAAAGATATATTCTAGGTAACTAAAATTCATTGATCTGTTCTAAAAATTTTGTTATCTTAGCTTTGCTTCATTGTTTATGGTCATAAGAGTGTATTTATTTTATGCATTATAGTGTAAGAGGGATTAAAATCATATTATTATTTGTTTAATTGTTATATCAATTAATTATTACTTACAAACCCTTAAAATCAAGAGATTTGTTATAAGAATGAAGAAATATACATCATTTACAATCATAATCATCTCCATTTAATAAAAATCAAATTAACTCTCTAGTTTCTCCATAAGATTTCAAATTTACAATCAAGTATCAAACATATTTTTTCTTTTTTTTTTTTATTAATCAATTGTAGCTTCTCTCTATATAATTTTTACTTTTAATTTTATTTGAGATTTTTTTCCCATTATAATACAAATTTTTTTTCAACACAAAAGTTATATTTGAATAGCTTTTTAAAATGTTAAAAATTATTAACTTCTAATCTCAAAGTTTTAATTTTATTCTTTTAATGGTATATTTTATTTTTCTTGTTTGGATAAAAAAAATTATTTAGCAATTGGTTTATTTGTGTTTTTTTAAATCGTTCACAATTTTAAGTTAAATGATTTATTTGATGTATTATGTTTCTTTGTACATTTTGTTTATAAATGGATAAAATTTATAATTTTGTAAATTATTTTTAGTATTTTCTTATATATATTTATTTTGATAATATATATATAGTAGTTTGGAAAAAAATTAAAATTTAATATAATATTAATTGATCTCTTCAAAATCAGATTTCAAGATCGTCATTGACTAAAAGTGACCAACCCAAAGTAGAGCAATAATTAATTAATTAATTTACAAGAAAAAGCGATTTAAATATGTTTCTCCTAGTAAGATAATATACTCATCTTTGAAGCAAATATATTTTTATAATTGAAATTATTAGAAATTAAATTTTAATTATTAAAATTAATAGTTTACTAATAGATCACTCGATCGTTAAAGCAAATATTTGGATTAATTATTGTGTGTTTAAAAAAAATAAAAATAAAAACAATTGTTGACCGGCTAATTGAGTGTTCTTTAGGTTCAAAAAGGAAAAATATTATATATCCAACCACATATTGGTATTTTTTATTTAAACTCACTATTAATTTCAGTATCTCTATTAACATTGTGATATTAAATGAAGTATAATGTTTTATTTAGTTAATATATTTGTAATATAAATAATCTATTGTTGTTATAAATCTTGTGTAATATGGTCTTAGTGTATTCAACTTATAATTTTTTTGGTTAGTGTGTGTTGAATTATAGGTTTTTTATAAAAGAGAACACAGCTTGAAATAGAATATATATATAGGTATTAAGATTTAAAATTTAAATTTATTAGATATTATATTTTAAAAATGATTATATCTTAAAATTTGAATATTAAATTTACTAAATATATTTTTTAAAAATAATTATATAAATTAATTGAACTAAATTCTGATTTCGTTCAAATATAGTTGCCAGCCTCGTTTGATCTAAATATCTAAAATAATAATTTCACAAAAAAAAATAAATTTAAATGCCATCCATATTCAATTATAGATGGTCATTATCATGGGCCACCCTCAAATTGGGTCCTTTTTGGGTCTAACAAACCTGTCCATTGAGATCAAGCATGAGTGGAGTCAGACTGGTCCAGTCTTCAAGCTCAATTCCAAGCCTGTCTCGAGTAAATGTCTACCAGGTCAGAGAAGTTTGTCCACCATTTTCTTTAATCCTTCGTTAAATTGAAGAAGAAATTGTATGTACCAAAAAAATTGAAGGAGAGACTGTGCCTGCACAAACAAAAGCTTAAGTCCAACCATCTGAGTTAGATTCACATATCAGATCATGGGATGAAAATGATTTAAGTTCTTAATCTTTTTCTATCAAATAAAAACTAACATTCCAAACATAACTTTAAA